AAAAAAAAAAAAGAGTTTACATCGAAACGGTCTTTTCAAATTTCCGAGTCTCCTTCCTTTTTTTGTGTGTGCTGTTTCGCTTTTTGAGGGAGGAGGGAACAATGTTGGCTTTAATCATCAATACACATTCAGGTACACATTACGTGCTCACTCAGTTACATGTACTGTGCATACATTACATGCATGCACGCCGTGGAAGGGGGGAGGGGAGGGAGGAGGAAATGGGTGTGGGATTGGGAGGTCTTACTTCCTCTGAGAATGCGGAATACAGAAAACAGTAGAAGAAGAAGAAGAAGAAGAAGGTGCCGGTGATAAATGTAGAGGGGCGAAATGCCAGGGAGATAGAAAGAGAGAAGGAAAGGTGGAAATTCAAAAGGAAAAAGAAAAGAAAGAGAAAAAGAAACATGGCAATGTGATCCGTGTTGTTTATGCAGTGGGGAGAAGAAAAGGGGGCGGAAAGGGAAAGGAGAAAATTATTTCCTTTTCTTTTTTTTTTGTTTTCTTTCTTTTTGATGTGTATTGTTAATATATGAATAAACAACGAATTTTTTTTTTTTTTTTTTTTGGTTAATACCAAATGTGGGGGGAGGTTAACATTGCGATATAAGCACATAATAACTGTATGCAAAAAAAAATTTTTTTTTTCTTTTTTCTTGTTGTAATTATATGCAAATATGTAGATATCTATGCCTCTGTATATATATATATATATAGAGAGAGAGAGAGGGAGAGGGAGAGACAGAGAGGGAGGGAGAGGGAGAGAGTTGTTTGAATTGAATACTCTTCCCTTTTTTTTTTTTTTTTATTATTAATGGATGTCATTGTGCGCCTACCTCATTTCTTCTACGCATAAACACACACAGACAGACAGACAGACAGACAGACCGGCAGATAAGCATGCACGCATGGGCAGAAGTATAGCCATCATTATTACTCTTCGAAAAGCAAAAACAAAATCCGCCTTGTTTTTGGTTGCGTGTTTTTTTTTTCTTTTTTTTTTCTTTTTTCCTCCTTATTATGATTGATGATTATTATTTTTTTCACACATACACGACGTTAAAATGTGTCTTTTTTTTTTTGTGTGTGTTGATTTATTTGCAGGACTGTTGTTTTTACGACAATGACGGCAAATTTTTTTTTTTTTAATTATTATTTTTTTTTTCTTTTTTTTTTTTTTTTTTGCCCGGTCTTGGGGGATGTTTCTGTCGGTTCTGTTGCGTTTCTTTTTTTTTTTCTTCTTTTTTATTGGTTCCGTTGCAAATATTTATTTTCCCCCCCCGTTTCTTTTCTTTTCTTTTCTTTTCTTCCCTTTCACGTGGCCGCATTTCGCGCTGCCCCTCTCAGTTTGAAGGCGGGGCTGCCGAATACGACACGTGCGTGTTTTCAAAGAGACACGAACACACAGACAGAGAGAGGGAGAGAGAG